ACAGAGTTTTATTGGATCATTGAACAGAACTGTTTGCAGTATCATTGTTGGAATGTCCACTCTACAAGCTTTAATTTTGTGACTTGAACAATTATTTCTAAGATGGCAATATGTAATCCATTAACTAGTGATTTCCTACTGCGCATTTTTTTCTTCTGTAAATCTGTATAACTTGTACCCCTTCACTGTTTTTTTTTCTTCTCTTCTCTTCTTCTTTTTCTTCTCTTTAAATAAAAAATTTAAAAAAAAAAAAAAAAGAATCTGGGGAGGTGATCCCTGCCTGGAAACCAGTGCCACGCACGGCTGCTGCCATAGTGGGGCCAGCCAGACCCCAGCCTCTCCGGGTGAGGCAGCACCATCGGAGGAGGACGGTGGAGAGAGAACCCGGCCTCACCAGGAAGAGTCTCCCCCTGGAAACCATGTCAGTTTCATTGTTTGGTTAGGGTTTATCCTTTTTTGTTTTGTTTATGTTAAACCTGATGGCATGTTAAAAAAAAAAAAAAAACCTGATGGCATGAGCAGCTATTTAAAAGATAGCAAAACATTATGGTAGCAATTTTGGATTTACTAGTGGCTTGTTTTGAAGTCCTTTATTGCATTCATTGTTTTGTTTTTATTGTTTCTATTCTGTTCTGTTCAATTTTTATTATGTCCAAAAGTATCTGCAGCTATTTTGAAGACAACAAAAGGCTTTATGGTAACTATTGTTGATTTTGTAAGGTTTTGAAGTCCTGTATTACTTACACTGGTTAATTTTGATTGGTTTTATTGTTTTATTTTCCTTGGTTTTATTCCTCTTTTCCCCATTCCCCACCCTCTCTTCACTTCCTCGTCCCCTCTCCATTTACAAAAGCTTTGTTTCCATTTTTCCTTTCTTCACTTTTTTCTTTTCCCTGTAATGTTTCTATTGATTTTGCCAAATATTTTGATAAAACTGGATAGTAAAACAGACCTTGAAGTAGGAGATAAGAAAGTGACCACAATATGCTGATGGCATTAATATATAAAACAAGTACAAAGAAGTATCATTATAAAATTGTTTGTGACACAATGGAAATGCCAGAAGAAACAACTTAGATGGTTGTGGAGGGACCAGGAAATAACAAGAGATGACTTTTCTCAGTAGTATAAATTTTTAAAAAATAATCTATAAAATAAATACATTTTAAACAAAAATGAAAGGATATTATCAATCACCTAAAACAGTGGTCTTCAAACTTGTTAGCAAAATGTTTTCCTCCCTCAACATCTTATGTTGACTAAAAGCACAGCCACTCTCACCCACCTGTGGCTGAACCATCTCTTAGAAACCAGCTCTGAGGGTGATGGTGTGAACCTCGGCTCTGACCCAGGTTCCAAGTAACCAAACCTGTACAAGTGTGGGGTTAAATCGAGGCCACTGGTTCCTGGCCCAGGATTTCTTTTCTTACTTGACTCTGCTTCTGGAATTTAAAAGTAGAGGACAGTGACATCAGGGAGAACCAAAGAATAAGACAGTTGTGGAAATCTGCGATCACGCTGGTGTTGGAGGAGGCAGAGTGAAACTGAGCTGGACTTTGACAAGAGTAAGAGAGAACGGGCGCAAAGCCAGGAGCTGGCATGGCCACTACACCAGGAGTGGCACGTAGGGTTATCCCAGGTGCCTGGTGTGACCAGCTGACCAGAGCTGCCCCCACACGGAGGGTTGAGTCTGGGGTCAGCGGAAGGTGTGACTTCATCAGTTGGTGACTGATAGAACTGTGGGGGACCGGTGGCGGCTGAAAAGATAAGAAGTATGAAATATAAAAGACTTTTATTTTGAGAATGTGGGGAGAGACACCCCTGATCCCCTGGGGCATGGCATCTCCCCCCGGGGTCGGTGATCTCTCCGTGGAACACGTGGAGTGCAGGCATACATGTAGCTTAGGTTGGGGGTGGTATGTGAGGGGGCATTAGGGATGCACAGGTAACCCATTGGTACTCTTTTGGCGCCATAGGTAAATTCCTAGGGGTGGGGGAGATGGAGCGCCTTGGTTCCACCTGAAGCTTTACCAGCTACAATGTCTTGCCTGGGCCAAAACTCTTTCATATCCCGTCTTATGATTATTATTATGAAAAGGGGCAAAGATTTCTTTCTTTACTGCTTCCTGCTGGCAGGGGGCATTGTACTGGGTTCTAGGGGAGTCAACGGGATGGCGGTTGATGTGCAGGTAGAAGCTGGTGCCAGGTGTTTTAGCCAAGACAACTTCACTGGTGAATGCACATATGTTAGACTGGAAAAACAAAGAGACAAGATGTTTTGAGTAGGCATGGCACTGTCATATTTAAGGACCCAGGGGAGGTAAAAGGGAAAGTGCCTTTGATTTAGACATGTCATTATATCAGGACCATGTTGAGGTAGAAACATTTCCACAGTAAGGCAGAATTCTGAAAAATAAATGTGGGGTTAGGAGGAGTAAAGTTATGAGAGGTGATTACTCCCCCATCTGAAAGGGTAGAAGTCAAAAGGGTAAGGCTTGTCTCTGGTATGTATGAAGTAGGAGTCTTAAGGAAATACTGCTGAGAGTCCTGTTGTAAAAAGAATGAGAAATTAGAAACCAAATTGGATAACACAACATGACAGCCTGAGAGTTGTGGCTTTAGGGCCTTCGTAAGGCAGAGATGAGTAGGCAACAGAATGGTTAGATCTAAGCCTGGAAGAGTACCACTTAGCCTGAGTGATGTGAAACCAGGATGGCAGTCTAGCAACTTTGATCACTGCTGAGGTTGCCAAGAATATCAAGTATGGGTTGCTGTAACCTGGTTGTAGTCCTTGGAATGATTTGCTGTAACAGCACTTTAGCAAGTATATCAGCAGTCTCCCTGGTTGTGTGAAAGGCTTTTATGTATCCTGAAAAAATATAAACAAAAGTGAGAAGGCAAAATTTATCTGTCAGTCTTGACCAGGGTTGTCTGAGAAACTGGTGAATAAGAAAGGAAGAGGGTGGTTTATCTCACTGAGGAGAGGTTTACTAGCAATAACAGGTGTAAGCTGTTGAGACCTCAGTGTCTGGGTCAGCCTGTATAAACACAAGGAAATAAAAAGCATTTTTAAGATTTAGGACTGTAGAGTGAGTGGTGGAGGGAAGATTTGGCACCACTGGGTAGATTGGGAAGAAGCAGTCTGGAACCTGCATGAAATAGGCCCTGTTTGTAAATGGCATAGGTTGACCCTCAATACCCCTAGAGGCTGAGGATTTAATATAGCAGCCTGAAAACTCAGAAAGAACTCTACATATGGCCTCTATGTCCACAAATATAGAGGATGTCTTACCTGAGACTTTTAGTGGGACTTGGACTTTGGGACGGACACCCATAAAGTAGGCTGCTGTTGGCCCTGAGCCCCGTCAGTCTTTAGCAGCAAGTTTAAGCAGATCTGTCAGTGATGAATCTGGCAGTGTTGGCATTTCCTGTGAGGGCTAGAAGTTAGGATGGTGTTATGGTTTGATAACTAGTGGTCAACTTAACGCCAGCTGTATTACATCAGCATGCATTGAGAGAAGATGCTCCACCTGAGAAGGGTTGCCAGGATAAATAGGTGGAGAAGAAGAGAGGTGTGGAGAGGGATGGAGGTGTTATGGAGGCACTGTTGGTTCTCCTACAAGTTGCTGTCTGAGCTATTGGTTCTCCTGGAGAAGCTTTGGTCTTCACATCGAGCATTGCTTCCTGGCTCCGGAGGGGAAGATATGTACTGCCTGGTCTCCAGGGTGAACTCCTCACGCTGCTTCCTGGCATGTTCCCGACTGTGCTTGTCGTCGGAGGAGCTCGGGGCCTCCGTGTCGCTGAGGACAGCTGTGGTTCCTTTCAGGACAGCCCCGCTCTTTGTTGTGAGTGTGACTTCTCAGCTCCAGTGTAGAACCCTCATCCCACTAGCACAGCTCCTTCATCCTACTGGCATGGACTTTTTGGCTTCCACCGCTGATCCTTGGGTCTTCCCAGCATGAATCCGTAAAAGAGACTGGCGTGAGTCCTTGTGGGCCCTGGACTTCCAGTTGGACTCATGGAGGCGTTGTCCTGAGCTCTGGGTTTTTATCTGGACTCATTTGGGACATTGCCATGGGGTTTAGACTCTTGACTAAATAATCTATGTCGTTGGTGTTGCGGATAGATTTCCTGCATTCTCCTGTGTTAACTTCTGGTGACCATTATAAAAATATTATAAACTCCATGTCCTGATCTGAATTGTTCTCTGTGTACAACCCGACTGAAACAGATGGCTTACCCACTCTCTGGTGGCTAGGACAGTCCAGTAGCCCTGGGGTAAGGTCTCAAAGAACGCCAGGATGGGGCACTCTCTTGCCCAATGTCATCTGCTGCATTTGAGGCATGGTGCATGGGGGGACCCAGGCAGCTCCACCTTGTGTCAGTTTACCTGTCCCAGAACTCCAAGTGTCACAAGTGTTATTGTTATCTCTGTTGTTGAAAACCTGAAAAGTCATATTAAGTTCTCTATGAGGTTTGCAGGTCAAGTTTTGCCTTTTTGTTTGGGATTTGGACTACAGTAGAAGGTATCTGTAAAATTAAGTAAGTATGCAGGAATTAAATATAATCAACAGGGTATTTATAATTTTATAAATACCTTTATAAGGTATTTATAAAAGGCTTCTCATAAGGAGGACAGGTCCAGAGAATTTTAGGAAGTGACATGTTATTTATGTCATATATATGAGTATCTCTTTATATTATTAAAATGTCTAATGCCATCTATACCTGATTTTTAGAGGATGACCTGTTTAATTAATTTTTACCTTTTTATTTAGAAGAGAAATCAGCTACAGTATTATTTAATATCAGTTGAATATAGTTAATTATGGCTTGATGGAGAAAGGAATTCATAAATACCTCTCAATCTCAGTCCCTAAACAGGAGATCAGTGGCAATACAGTATAATATAGGTGTCGATGTCGCTCCCGGCCGGCAGGAAGGACACACGACAAAGTCTGGCAGTGGACAACCTTTTCTTTTATTTTCTCTCCGTACAGCCTGCCCTGGGATCGCTCCCAGCCGAAGCCTCCTCTGGTCCGCTCCCCGCGGCTCCTTCCGTGCTTCGCTCCGAAGCCTCTACCGGTCCGCTCTCCGTGGCTCCTTCCGGACTTCGCTCCGAAGCCTCTACCGGTCCGCTCTCTGCGGCTCCTTTTGGGCTTCTACTTCCCCCCAGGGGTGGCACCAGTATATATACGGATACAGTGTCCAATCATATTAAAGTAAGCAAGGCAAGCTGATTGGCTAACATATTATTGAGCGGGTTGTTTACGCGGTAAGCAGGAAACTAACGTGCTCGATGGGAGGGGTAATCTAACTCAGGCTTTACTCTTTACCACAGGCCGCATGATCGCTATATGCGGCGGCTCGGCAATGTGGTGGCTCTCAACATATAGGCAGTAAGCTTAACACAGAACACCACTGGTGGTTTATAGCAAAAGGAATTCATAAATACCTCTTAATTTTAGTTGTTAAACAGGAGATTACTGAAGGCTTTAATTGATAAACAAGCCTGGTAAAATTACCACTTTCCTGTTTATCAGCCAAAGTCTTGTCTATTGCTGGCTTATTTAACGTTGATTAAATGGTTTGAGAATGTGAAAAATAGCATCTCTGAGCCGAGCCACCGAGCTCCTGTTTTTCTGTGTTTGTGTTTAAAGTGGCGCTTGCGTTTGGCAGACACGCTTGTTTGGGAGACGTGCAGGGCCTAAGGCAGGATGGACATCTGAGGCTGGGCGGGGCGTGCTCAGGGTGGGGGCGATGCATGCAGAGTGAAGGCGGGTAGCGCACAGGGCGGGCTAGGACTGCCCTCCGGAAACCCGAGCAAGGTGGAGGCGGTGTAAGCTGAGTGTGCTGGTGGTGGCGGTGGCAGCGGCGGCGGCGGTAGCGCATGCTGGGAGGTGGAGCTGGGACGTGGCGTGCTGGGATACTGCATGCTGGGACCCCTGGGGCTGCTTACGGAGCCGTGGAGGACAGCCGGACCACTGCGGAGCCGAGCTGCCACGTGGAGGAACCGCTGGTGGGATGCATGGACCAGGGCATGGCACCAGAGCCAGATCCGCACAGACCCAGAGCACCGCACGAGAGCCAAAACACCGTGTGGTGTTGGGACGGCGGCACGAAAGCCTGAAGCAACAGTATCTCCCAACACTGTCCGGGCTGGAGCGTGCATGAGAGCTCAAAGCAGCCTGCCCATATCTCTCAACACTGTTTGGGCTCGTTTTTCCCATCTTGGTGGGGAATGGGTCAGTGCATGGCGGGACGAGGGAAAGCGGTGAGGAAACAAAGGGACGCTGGTGGGAAAAGGACACACATTCCCAAAACAAAGCCTTAAAGATAGAGAGTTTTGTAAACGTGCCGTCAGTGTGATAAGCCATAGATAGGTATGGGGTTTTTTGGGGGGGGGGACAGGAAGTGGTCCCCAAGATAAAATCTGGTGTGGGGTCTGGCCCACAGAGTTATAGTCAGATGAGGCAATGGACCGTGGTCTACTAAGCGTAAGTCGTCACTTTTTACTTTAGACCGATTGGTATTATATGGTTCCAAAGCTCGTAATAATTGGCCGTCACCAGTATATACAAGTGGATTTCACGTGGGTTTAGTAACAGATCTGCCTGTGAGAATTTAAAAAGCCTCTGAAGGCCGTGAGAGACTCTCAGTGTGGACACAGGCTGGCCCAGGAAGACTCTGCCTTGGGCTATCCGAACCCAAAGGATGTGAGAGTCTCCAGTGTGAACACAGGTTGGCTCAGAAAGACCCTGCCTTGGGCTCTCTAAGGATGTGAGAGTGTCACACAAACCCATGGAAAGGGGGAGAAAACCTGCCTGGGGCCTGGCCCAGCGGCAATCTCCAGGGGTTGCTCACCTGTGGTAAATTGAGTTGGTGGTGTTTGCGAGCCAGCAGTGACAAGTTTACAGCTCCCAAGTGTAGAAGTGAGGAATTAATGCAGGATGTAGTCTGGTTCTGGTCCTGAACAGCAGAGGACTCAAACTGGGAGGGCCCAGGAGTATCTCGTCTGCCGTTCCTGGTCAGGGAACCATACGATAGAACTGTGGGGGGACCAGTGGCAGCTGAAAAGATAAGAAGTATGAAATATAAATGACCTTTATTTTGAGAATGCAGGGAGAGACACCCCCAACCCCCTGGGGCACGGCTTCTCCCTCCCCACCCCCGGTCGGCAATCTCTCATGGAACACGTGGAGTGGGTGCATACATGTAGCTTAGGTTGGGGGTGGTGCCTGAGGGGGCATTAGGGATGCACACGTAGCCCATTGGTACTCTTTTGGCGCCAGGGCCAAATTCCTAGGGGTGGGGGAGATAGAGCCATAGGTAAATTCCTAGGGGTGGGGGAGATGGAGCTCCTTGGTTCTGCCTGAGGCTTTACCAGCTACAGTGTCTTGTCTGGGCCAAAACTGTTTCAGTGACCTCTTGGGGGAGGGTGGGATACCACGTGTCATAATTCTTGTCATGCGGTGTATTTTTAGCACCCAAGGGTGCTAGTTGCTTGTATCATGTTAGTGCACAGATGAAAGCGAAACTGGGGTGCTCTCCTCTCAGACCTGTGCTGGTGCCTCCCCTGAGCAGGACTGCCTGTGGGCCTTGCAGATCCAAACAGACAGGAGCAGCCTGGATTTTGCTAACTGCCCAGCAACAATGGGGTGTCCCCTTCCCACTGGAGCGTGTCTGAGGCCCCATGGAGCGTCAGGACATACTTACTGCTGCTCGATGGTACAGTGGAGAGAGCTGGCCTCCCACCCTGCCAACTTGTGCCTCAGTTTCCCTGACTGCTTCCTCCCAGGCAAGGAAGTGACACGCCTGCCTCTCAATCAAGGCAACGCCAGTGAAAACTAGCTGAAAGACAGGTTCTAGAGTCTCAGAACATAGTGCAAGTGTCTATGGGACTCCATTAGCAGAAATCAGAATGAGCTCAAAACTGGGTAGAAAAATAGCAGATGCCAACGCTTACATGACAAAACTGTTAGAATTACGGAAGATTATTAGTCTACCACCATAACAAGGCTTCAGTGGAGCTGGCATGGTGGTGCACACCTGTAAGTCCAGCACCAGAGCCAGAGGCACATGAGTGTGAGGTCTGCCTGGGCCAAAGAGTGAGTTGTACCCCAACCTGACCTACATCTCCAGCTGGTCTCAAAGAAACAAAACTACAGAGGCTTCAGTGACCAAGTACAAACACTCTAGGAACAAAAGAAAACACAGAAGACTCAGCAAAGTGGTATAAACTATAAAGAACCAGATGGAAATTTTAGAACCAAAAAGTAACAAGGAAAAGCTCATTGGGTGGACTCAAGAGCAAGCAGGAAGGACAGAGGAAAGATTCAGTGAGTTGGAAGATAGATCAATAGAAATTACTCAAGGGAACAAGAGAGAGAATGGAAAATATTAAAAATAGAATTCCTCTGGAGCCGGGTTGCACATCTGTAATCCCAGCACATGCGAGGCTGAGGCAGGAGGATCCTTGCAAGTTTGAAACCAGCCTGGATTCAAAGTGAGTTCAAGGCCAGCTTGAACTGTATAATAAGACCCTGTCTCAAAAAGACAAAAAAACAAATCCTCTGGAAATATAACAAGATTTATTTTGCCTCACTAGAGTGCAGGAAGAGGGAGAGGGAAAGGGGATAAGAGTGCACTGGAAGACAATGGCGTAAAACTTCCCAGGGGCAAAGGAACCTGCTGCCCCGCTGAGTGCTGAGCTGTCTGCACTTTGGTTTAGCAGGAAACACACAGCACACAAGTGTGAAAGGAATCTGAGGAAGGATGGAGGAGTTGTTCCTTCCCTGGTGGGCCTGATCTCATCGGACCAGGACCCAGAGGCCGGGCAGGGCTGCGGCCTTCTGCTTAGAACTAGCCTCCTGCAGCATCAGCACAAACCCTCAAGGGGTCTCTGGATCCGGCACCCAGCTGGGAGCTCAAGCACAACAGTTCATTTAACTGAACTGGGAAGATGGGAAGAGACAATGGAAACCTTTCGGGATTCTGGGAAGCAGGTACTGAGAACCAACACTCAAAGCATAGAACTGGCATCATCACTTGTACTGCTACTTAGATGGGTATTACAGACAAGAGATGCTCGATTTCTTTCAAAATAAATGTCAAGTAAAATTACACTGATATTTATCTTTTTTAAAAAAAATTAAAGACTAAGAAATTGTGTGCTTGGCAGGCCGCAGGCTGTGTGGAGCCCTGGTTTCTGTCCCAGGACTGGCAAACAGCAAAATGTTTATTCGGATGCAGTTGCCAAAACACATTGTCTAGGGAAGAAAATGGATGCGTAACCCCGCCTAAAATGTCCATCATATTCTATTCTTGAAAGAGGCAAAAGGTACACAGTCATTTTCTTGTGGTGTGTACTGCGTAAGATTTTATTTCAGTATGCACCTCTACCACCGCGTGGGCTGTGATGAATGGCATGACCCTTTCCTGTTTCCACCTTTAACCCAGACCACAGCCATTCAAAGGATGGGCACAGAGTAAACCGCCTTCCCTAGTGTCTTCATACCATCGTCCGCTTTTCCTTCTGGAGACCAGGAATGGAGCTCATGGCCTTGCGCTCGTCGTGACCCACTCTTACTCTGACAGTGTCAGAGGCTGAACCCTGGGCGTCCAGCTGGCCTGAGGAAGCCCCCACTACTGCAGCGCACCCTGGCCTCTCCAGCCACCGTTCCAAGCAGGTCTGTGCCCTGTGCTTGTCCTGTTTGCGCCTATGATGACAACGCAGGGGAACTGGCTCCCAGTTATGATTTACTTCACCAGCTACTACGTGGGTTTGCTGCCTGTTTAATCCATTCGACAAACCCAGAGAGGTGCATCTGTCATTAAAGGAGAGAGGCAGTCACCCCGCAGCCAAGGTGCACTCCCGTCTCCCACACCCCGAGCCCTTCCCAACTTCTGGTGACAGTGGCTTTGCAGCAGCTGGAGTCAGGTAATAGCAAGACTCAAATTTCAGTGACACATGACGCTGACCACGGGATCTGGATTCAAAGTTTTAATAATAAATTGTGCCAATAGAAGCTTTAAAAAGGTAATGATATATCAATAAATAATAGTTAAACTGAGTTCCTGAGAAAGAACCTACCACATGAAAGTATGTCAGAGCGCTGTAAATAACATGGCATTACTATAAAATAGCGCAAATACTGTCAGCCACAATCCAAGCACAGCAGACGTCAGAAGATGCCATTCACACAAATGTAAACCAGTACACAGAATGTTCTTAGACACTGATAAACTTGTGTTGTTCCCTAGATACATAGTGATGATGGATACATGATGCTATGAACTTTGAGGAAAATATGTGGAATAATATAATGAAAAATAGGAGGCATCGGATCTTTTAAAGAGCAAAAAAGAACTCAATTTTTACTCAAATATAAATCACTTTAAATAGAAACCATACAAATTTGAAATAAGGAATATTTTGTGTGTTTATCTATATAGTCATATTTACACTTATAAGTCTAGGAAAATATGGCTTGTTTCTATTCCAATGTCACTTTGAAGCATCTTTGCTTTTTACAGTTTTTTTTTTTTTTTTTACAAAAGTTAGAAAAACTTGGTATTGTTTAAACCAATACTTGAAACCAAGCAGAAGAACAATCAGTTTATCTCATTCAGTGTGGCAACCTCTCAGTCGCCTAAGAAAACAGAAGGAAAACAGTTCATATAAACCTTTCAGTGTGGGCAGTTTGTCAGTAAAAAAATTAAGTAGAAGAGTCCTAGCTACTGAATTCTATATACCAGCTACATCAAGAATGAGTGCAGACTGACCAGAGAAATGGACACAGGTACAGGGTGAGCCAGGCATTTTGGCATAGCTGAATTAATCCCTTTTAATGCATAAAGTATGCCGCACGACAGATGTTTACATTTATCCTCAAGCATCCAATCATACCCAAGACACACACAAAGCACTTCTCATTTACATATCTGCGTTTCTCTAACAAAACAGTAAAGGATACAATCACAGCAAAGACATCACTCACACAATACATAGTAAGCACGCTGTCTAGAATACCTCATTTAAAAACACTCGGTAAAAACATATTCACAGGACCTGCTGTGAATGGCAAGATATGGTAATTTTATAATAGAAAACTCCTGCTCATGCAGTACAGCATTCCCACACCAGACGCTGAAACCACGCCCACATCGTTACTCTGCTCACACTTCTGCTATAGTATTATAATACGCAGAACACAAACAAAAAAGCAGCTTTTAACATTATGTCACAATTTTGAAATGTGGGGAGAAAATACAACACAAAACCCATCCTGTGGATAAAGCGGTCTCCATGACATCTCAGCAGAGCATCGTCTCTTTCAAACATTATTGCACAGAGATTCTTATCACATGTTCTTTAGTTCTTGTCTCCTCCTAAATGTGAGTAAGTGCTATGGATAAGATATAAATGTAGAAAATAACAGCAGCATGATTTGTCAAAGTTAATCCCTATAATTTAGTAAGAAAAATGGTTATCAACAAAATAAGTGCTTTCTAAACTGTACTGAAGTTTTAAAAATATGGTTTGAATGTGGTGAAGGCCCCCAAAAGTCGATTCAAAGTCACGCTCACTGTCCCCACCACCCTTCGGCCAGAACCAGAGGAGAGGGTCTGGGCTGCCAGACCTCAGCCCTCTCTTTATAAAGGTTTCTCGCTGGCCTGGGGTTCTCTTGAAGAGCAGGACTTCAGCGAAATGCTCAATGCCCAGCTGAAAACAGGCTGCCCTGGGCTTCCCAGTGGCCAGGGGGAGCAGGCAGCCACGCTGCTGCCCTCCAAGATGCAGCTGTGGGCTACACATACACCGGCTGGCAGCTCTCGGTCTGGTCCACCAGATCCGAGCTTTCTAGATCTGAGCTCTCGGAGTGCGAGGTCTCTGCTCCCGAGGGTTTTGGGCACCGGAAGGGGTAGCCATTGTCATCGAAGAACCTCCGGAAGGTGAACTCATAGAACGCGTGCTCAGGGTGCTTGGTGCTGGGGGAGGTGAGGGTGTCCCAGGCCTTGGTGCTGTCTCCGCTGGCCTCGTTCCAAGGGGTCTCCTCATCCACGGGGTCAAAGTTTGAGGTGTCCATGGGGTGGCTGATGGTGGGTACGTAGGGGGCCGGCTGCTTCCGGATGTCACTGGAGAAGTCGATGGTGCTGAAGAATGGGTGGGCCTTCAGGTCATCGGCCCCGTCCCTCCCCAGGCGGCAGTCCGCAGAGCAGCACAGTTTGGTGATGAGGTCCCTGGCCTCTGGGCTCAGCTTCACCTGGGTGGGAATGTGCAGCGTGCTCTCCCAGTTTATCACCTAGAAGGGCAGACCAAGGGTTAGCATCGCCTGAGACTGGGCCAGGCTGGGTGACTCCTGGATGGCGGGTAGCGAGTCCAGGGCACTGAGCAGCAGCCAGTGAGGGGCTTCTGGCCCAAGAACAGGATGATGAAGCCGGTTGCAGATAAAGGACATTAACTTCTCCTATGAGAAATTCTGCTCGGCCAAAGAGTTTTGTGCTTTCTAGAAAAATGACGTGAGCCAAGTGTGGTGGCTCATGCCTGTAATCCCAGCACTCAGGAGGCTGAGGCAGGAGGACTCTTTTGAGTTCGAGACCAGCCTGGGCCACAAAGTGAGCTCAAGGCCAGCCTGAACTACATAGTGAGACCCTGTGTCAAAAAAACAAAAACCCCACAAAGCGAATGACTTACGGCGCTGGGTTTCTGCCGAGTCACCACAGCACTCAGTACTTATTTCAGTAAGACACACTGAGACACAGCCAGTGGGGCTTCGTAGGGAAAGGCCGCCTCCCCGAGGTGGAGAGTCCAGGTGATGGACCCAGAGCCAGGCCTCTGAGGCTTGACCGAACAAACCGGCCATTTGGATGCTTGCTACACACATCTGTCATGCAGCTGTGTCCACTGTGAAGCAAAAACCAAAGACACAACTGTGTGGTTCACACCTGACACCAGCTGAACTGAGGCCAGCATGACCTGCCACCAGTGAGGGTGCCAAGACACAGGGAGGCAGGCAAGCAGGTGAGTGCTGCCTGGGATGGTGGTTTTAAACCCAGGAGTTTTTTTAGCAGTGCACAAACTGGGAAATACACAGGAAAAAGCAGGGTCAGATCTTTAACTGCTCAGATACGACACCGGACACAGGCCTGAAGTGTGCAGACATGGAAACCACAGGTGCATCGGAAGGACAGCACTGACTGAGTGGGGAGGCGACCGAGGACTGACCCTGGGAAGCAGGAAGTTGAGGAGGAGCTCCTAGTCAGAACACAGAGCTGGGAAAAGGACTTGAATAGTTGATTCTCCAAACTTGCACAAATAGTCATAATTACACGAAAATAACTGATAGGGAAATACAGATGAGAACCACAATGAGGTGCCACCTCATGCCTACTAGAATGGTTTCTATGAAAAGAAAAGAAGGTATGGGGAGGTGAGGGAATCAAGTGCGGGTGGATGTGCACACACTGGACTCTGTGCACTGCTGGTGAGGACGTGAAACAGCCCAACTATTCTGAAGAGCCCGGCAGTTTATCTTCACGTTCAACACGAACAGTGGAATGGTCCAGCTGTTACGTTTCTGAGTATATATCCAAAAGGACTGAAGGCAGGACCAAAACAGGTCCTTGCACACGCTCACAGCAGTATCATTCGTAACAGCCAAGAAGGGGAAACAACGCAGACGTCCACCAGTGCACAAATGGATTTTTAAGAGTGTATGCTGTGAATACTAATGACCACACTACTTCAGCCTTACAGAGGCAGGAGATCCTGAGGCCACAGCACAGAGGGGCCTAAGGACAGGAGGCCGAATGAAACAAAGCAGCCACAGGAAGGGGAGTAATGCATGAGTCCGCTACAGAAGTCCAGTGCAGAGCTGGAAGACAAGTTGGAAGGGGCTGCTGGCAGGTGGGCAGGGCAGAGACCCTGTTGGAAGCAGTAGAGGGCCACGCAGCACTGAATCGCTTCCTTTAAAACAGGCCACAGGTAGGTTTTATGTTATATATACCTTGCCACAGAAAAAGAATTAGAGGCTGGCTCGACAATTCAATTATAATGCAGAAGATGCTAGATTCCAACTATACCCTTCCTAGAGTAAAGCTAAGCTTTAACCTGAGACCTTTTAAAATTGAAGTTATTAACATGGACTCCTTCCTAGCACTGCCCAGCAGTGGGGGGATGTCAGGCTTTAATTCCGTCTTTAACTAACAACACACTTTCAAAAGCCAACAGCTCTCCTTTCTGAAGTGAGATTAGTCAGCACACAATTATTAGCTGACAGACTCTACGACTTCAGATGAGTCAGGAATCCCGAGCATGCACAGACAGCGATGTCACAACCAACGAGCACTGGCCACCTGGTGCCAGGGGACAGAGCCCTGGAGCTCCCCCAGTGGCCCAGGGGGCGCTTGCTCTGTGCTGTGCCCACTGCTTCTCACTGTGTGCAGCTGTCCTCCCTGGAAACAAGCATGGATTGCCATGGTTACATAGAATTTCAGGCAGCCAAACACACCAAACCTTGGGTTCACCTTTGTGGCTTTGTGGGCCAGGGATAGAGCCCTGCAGCTCACATGTGCTCGCCACTTACCTTCAGCTGTGTTTCTGTTGGTGTAGGAGCCAAAAAGGGCGGCTGCCCCACCAGCATCTCGAAAAGAATCACGCCAACACTCCACCAGTCACAGAGCTGGGTATATCCTGAAAGACAGAGCTCGGTCAGTCCAGGGCAGGCAGGGGTCTCTCAGGTGATGTCTGTGCCAGCTGGAGGGTGAAAGACACCTGGAAGGGACTTCCCTGGGTCACCTGCCCTCATGAAGGTTATGGCCACTTGTTTTCTTATTTTCACTCACTACTCTGTGATAAACACAGGATGTTTTCATAGAAACATTCTTTTAATTTCAACAGTACAGCTAAAAAAAAAAAAAAAAAAGTACAGCTATTGTTAGTAACAATACTTGTTACCAACCAGAACTGACCACACAGAAAAATTAAAATAACAGAACCAGAAAAACAGAAATCACTGCATGGACAGTCAGGTGAGGAGGCCCCATGGGGCCTCCTGGGGAGGCGCCTGGAAGACCATGAAGAATCTGGGTGTGGTGGAGGTGGCCACCCTGGCAGACACTGGACACTCATGGGCGCTGGGCAGGATTGTGCGGTTTTCCCCACGTGCCAGTCACACTGGCTTGTTTCAGTATCATCCAATCCTGGGGAACTGGGCTGTGAGCGGTCAGCCCATGGGGTGACTTGATCCATACCTCTGTGCCCTCTTCTTCCTGTAGGCTGGCCCCGAACTGTGGAGGGTAGGGCATACAAGGCCTTTCCTGGGCACCAGGGCAGTATTCTCAGGCTCTCCAGGGAATACAGCCACACACATGGTGCCAAGCAGCTTAGGGACCCACCTGAGATCCCGACAACCAACAGAGAAAACCTCACTGGGACTGGGCCTGGGCCTGGGCCTGGCTGGCTCCAAAGACATCAAACATGCAAGTGATGAGGAGGTGGCCTGTGTCCAGCTACATGGCACAGGGCCAGACCAACAGCCCACTACTGCCATGGTCCACCCAGGGGCCTGGACAATCTTGCTTGTTCTGAACTGCATGTCATATCTGAGACAGAATAAAGTGTCCAACTGGCTGACCCGCTTCCCTGAACACTGCCCACCTTATGCCCACTACTGTCTCACTTCCTTAGAGTCTGGGGAACAGGAGGGGAACTGGAGAACAGTATTTGCACGGTAGACCTGGCCTAACCCAGTGGGAGTTAAGCTGGGGCTGAAGGGGTGTTCCATTTAGGGAGAACAAGCCTAGCTGGCCTTGTGATCCTGGCCTTTCTTCCGTTCCACAACTTGGTAAAAGCCGCCCGGAGGTCTGGGTTGAAGCGGATGCCCCATACATCCGGCCAGAAGAGGGCTGGGTGGATACCGGCATAAAGCCACAGTGTTTCCAGAGCAGCGCGGGACGCTGTTCTCAGGCCCTCGGGGACTACCATGCAGCCCTGTCTCTCAGACACAGAGACTGCGGGAGGACTTAAGATTGTGGAAAGCCAGCACTGCTGCTGGAGTGCATGCGAGGCACACCTTTGCGCAGAAGCACCTCGGGGGCGATGTAATTCGGGGTCCCAACCAGGGAGTGTGCCAGGCACCGCTGGTGCTGCTTCCGGGCTCTCTGCTCCAGGGTCTTCAACCTGTCCCCACAGCGACAGTTAGACACGTCGTCCCAGAGGTCACTGGGCTCCATGCTGTCCTGCCTGATATGGTTCCCTTCGCCTGGGAATTGGGGGTGGTGAGAGAAGACAATAAAACAAAAAGCACGTTTTACTACTCAGCAGTGTAACAGAAAGAAACTCCAACCGGCTGCCAGCATGCAGGACAACTGCTCCCCAGGGCAGCTGCAGCTCCTGGCTCCCACTGCTGTGCAGGGCAGCTGGTGCTGCAGTGCAGCCGGGAGCAGTGACAGCACACTGCGCTCTGCAAGCTGCTGTGGAACCCCACGGACAGATGTGCTGGCCAACCCTGGGGGACGCTGTGCCCAGCCCTTCACAGGACAGGCCCAAGGCTAGCACCTATCCAGCAAGACACATTTTATGGTAAGCGTGGAAAAACTCAGGAGGACTTAAAAATTATGAACAGAAGTGACTTCAGTTCCAGAAAATGCAAGTAACTTAGATTAGAGTTCAGTATATTGGGGGGGGCGGGAACAGGCTGAGCCGTGGTGTTAGCATAGCTGTTCAGGTACCCCAGCCCTATGTAAGACAGGAGCAGCTGTTTCTGATCTTGCCAAATAGCAGAACCACAGAAAAAGGAGTTAAACTATATAAAAGACAGACTCGGGCTATCTTCTAGAGAGGACTCTTTGGGAGGCTGTGAGACTTATTTTTTGAGCCAGAGACCTTGTTGCCCAGGCTACCGCTAAACTTCTGGGCTCAAACTGTCAGTCTCCCTAGCAGACCACTACACTCAGATTTGACACTTTCACTTTTTATAGACTGTTTCACGAGGGTAGAACAATGATTCCTGACAAAGGCCTTGTGAAAACCTACCGACCTGAAACATAATAAACTTAAGTTCACTAACTTAAATAAAAATCTCATACATATCACCGTCTTCCTTTAGGAAAGAAAGGTTTTCACACCAAAGCATACAATACAGGAGTGATGGACAGCTTCATAGTAAGCAGGAGCCACCAGGCTGGGCTATGTCCAGAGGTGGAAGTGGACATGGGTGTCTAAGATAATACCTTTCTGGTAGTATTTTGAATTGTGAGTCCATCGGAATCCAGTGCAGAGGCCGAAGTCCGTCAGTTTGATGTGACCGTCCAGATCTATCAAAATGTTGTCAGGCTTGATATCTCGGTGGATGAAGCCCATCTTGTGGACACTCTCGATGGCCAATGTCAACTCTGCGATATAGAACCGGGCCAAGTGCTCGGGGAAGACCTCCATGCGGATCAGCAGGCTCATCATGTCCCCCCCGGGGATGTAGTCCATCACAAAATACAGGCTGTCTTTGTCTTGGAAGGAGTAGTACAGCTTGACCACCCACTCGTTGTCCGCCTCGGCCAGGATGTCCCGCTCAGCCTTGACGTGAGCCACCTGGTTCCGATTCAGCACGTCTTTCTTCCTCAGGGTCTTCATGGCGTACAGGGCATGCGTGTCTACCTTACAGGCCAAGCAAACTTCTCCAAAGGCACCGATCCCCAGGGTTTTGATCTTCACAAACATGGACTTGTCCATCTTGGCCCTCTTGAGCCTGTTGTAGTTAGACTCCTTCTGGTAGAGGATCTTCCTCATCTGCTCCTGCTCAGCCTCACAGAGCCCGGCCTGCAGAAAGGGAGACCAGAGACGTCAGTGGAGGGACCTTAGGGATACCCGGACGGGACAGGACATGGAACAGAAGACAGAAGGCAGCTCTAATATACAACTCGCAAAATAATCATCACTTATCTTTTTTTTTTAATTGGTACCGGGAATTGAACTCACGACTGCCTGCTTGCAAGGCAGGCGCTTATGCTGCTGAGCTAAATCCCCAGCCCCTGTCCTATCTTTTTCATCACTTTTTTGTATCTACATGCTGCTGCAGATCTGGAATCGAAAGGCCACACAGGATATAGTTCATTCCTTTAGGTGACTTTAGGCTCTAAAAAGTAAACTTCTGTTAACAAAAATCTACAGGAAAGGGACCATAACATTCTGGAAGTTCAAGAGAAATCTTGTACTTTACTAGTTCAGGGGAAATGGAAAAGTAGAAAAAACTCAATGTATATGGGACAAAGGAATCTGATTTGTAGACTGGCTTGGTGTGATTTAAATTGCCTGTTATGTTTTAATTGGAATTTCATTATAATTACCCACTTTAGCACTGTGATGTAACTAACATACAGTGAACATACATATATTTTAGACACTAGTCTTTTCTTAAAAAAAAAAAAACTCAACTTCTGAAACCTCAAACTGTTTCTGCTCTTTCAAAATGTGTTATATTACTGGTAAGTAAATCTTGGTGAAAGATTAAAGATACACTACAAACACACCAACTTGCTGATTCTGTGCTGGGCACATTACACACAGCTTTCAGGCTCTGGATGTGTGTGTGTAACCACAATGTGACTTCCCAGTGCCGGCAGCATCAGGCTGTGTGTGTGTGCGTGTGTGCCTGTGTGTGTGTAACCATCTGGGTCTGAGCCTGACTGGGGAAAGGTGTGTGCAGGGCAAATAGCCCTGGGCAGCCAAGCGCCTCTCGCCCCCAGGGGCAGCGCCGGTGCGCGCAGCGCAGAGCCAGCACCTTAGCCATCTCCTGCTCCAGCTGCAGCCTGCGGTGCACCTTCTGCTGGTAGGTTTTGATGACGTTCTCCACGTGCTGCTCCATGAAGAACTTGAAGGCATAGGGGGAGTAGCTCTTGATGCGCGACTCTCTCTTTTCTTCGTCCCTGTTGTTCTTGCGTTCGGGCACTGGCGAGGTCTGGATCTGCTTCTTGTCCTTGCAGGCCTTGTCACCCTTTTCCGCCTTGCGACTCTTATCGCTCCTGGGGGCGGTGGCGGCGGCAGAGGGCTCGGCGGTCGGGCTCCCGCGGAGGTTCTGCTCCACGCCAGCACACAGTCCGTCTAGGTCGAACTGCTCCGACTGGCTGTGCAGCAGCAGGTGCTTCGGGTAGGGCGGCGGCGGGCACCGGTCGCGCACGTAAGCAGCGGACAAACCATGCGCTGGATCCTCCTCAGTGGCTGCGGCGGCGGAGGCAGCGGCGGGGCCCTCGGCGGCAGGTGCGGACACCCAGGCGGGGTGTGAGGGCCCCACGGCTGTCTGTGGCTCGGGCCGCAGCACGCGCACGCTCTTCACCGGGTGCAGGATGTGCGCGGCGGTGACGGCCGTGACGGTGTTGGGCGCGGGCAGCGCGGGCTCGGCCTGCGCGCCGCTGAAGGAGTTGGTCCGGCTGGGCGCGGGCCCGGCGGGCCGGAAGGCGTGCGCGCGCGGGGCCTCGGGGCCGGCCTTGCGCAGGGAGTCACGGCGGACGGGCGCAGCGGGCCAGGGCTCGTACAGCTCCGGGTGCAGGCCGCCGCGCGGGGGCGCCAGCGGGCCGGCCGGGGACTCCCCGGGGAAGAGCGTGGCGCGGGCGCCCACGGCGTGCAGCGGGTGCGCCGCGGGCTTTTGCAGCGCGGGCAGCGGCGGGTACAGTCCTGCGGGGCCCGGGAGAGCGAGGCCGGCCACCGGCGGGGGCCCCGGCGCCTGGAAGGACGGGCTGCGCTGCAGGCCGTAGCCCCGCGGCTCCCCAGGCCCCGGCGGGTGCGCGCGGCCGTAGTGGGCCGCCGGGAAGCGCGAGCCCGCTGCCGCCTCAGCGCCGTAGGCCTGCGGAGGGCCGTGCGGGGGCCCCGGGAAGAGGAAGTCCACGTAGGGCCGCGGCACCTCCTCCAGCGCCGCCGGGCCGTCAGCGCAGAAGCCTGCCCCATCGTAGGCCGCGCCGGGCAGCGGGTGGAAGGGCGGGAAGCCTTCACGCGCGCCCTCGAAGCTGGGTCTCCGCGTCACGGTGACCGAGGTGGGCACGAGGCCCTTGCCTGCAGCAAAGACAAGAAGACCGTCAGCTCGCGAGCCCTCGGGTCGCAGCCGTCCCCAAGTGCTGGGCCTACCAGGGAGGAGGACCCCTGGGGTATGTCTTGCTCCTGCACCCAGTCACCCTAAAGTGGCAGAAGGGAAGAGTCCCAGTGCTCACACCCAGGACCTGCCTCCTGCCACGCTGGGAGCCGTATGGGAGCAGCTCTCCTTTCCACCCGATGAACCCAAGCCCTCCGGGTCAGCTGAGTTTACTGTTCCCAGAGTCTTCCCTAACACGGGCAGGATCATAACCATTGTCCAAACGTCCACTTTGCTGTCACCTATTTTCCAAAATAAAGATTTTCTGGGGTTTTTGTCTTTATTGAAACCAAACAATGTTTATACAACAACATAAACCCTTTCCTTCAAATATCCAGATAGATTTCTGCAGCTGCTTCCTGATTCCTGACTTTTCCACCTTTGAAAACCTCTCCTCTAAAACAGACGCCTGGGAGGGAAGACGAAGGTGCCTTTCATTTCCGCAGCCAACCCTCGGCTTGATTTGGCTGTGGCTGCGTCTGAGGCTCCACCTTGCCATCCGTGGCGACACCTTCCCCAATACCCTCAGAGCCAGGCCAGAGCAGCCACGGTGGGGAGCACACCAAGGGCAGCATGGGTGTCACTTTTGGCACCATGGTCTAAGACAGGTGGTTGAAAGGGGCGTGGGTAAAGGAAGAGACCCGTTCTCTCAGAAAAGAAAGACGGTTAGGGTTAAGCCACGAGAGCCTGTGAAATTTCCTCCTGTATCATGGCAAGTGGGTTTTATCTCAGCTCTCTCATAAAATGGGGGAAAACTCCTTTTGCAAATTATAATGAATCCTTTATCATACCTCAGGGACCTCAGGAACCCAAACCACAATCCACCCATTCTAGCCTGGAGAGGACCTCTCCCCCAGAGCCAGGGAGGCAGAGTGGGTGACTCTGCCCCCTGCAGGGCACCCTGTGGGAGCCCGGCACACTGCCCACAGCTGTCGGCCTGTTTGTCTTGGGGAAGCTGCTCTCGAGGCTGTGGTGTGAGTCTAAAAGTTAGGCTTCAAAAGCTTACGCCTCCTGAGCCTCCCTTTTCAGACTCTTCTCTGGGGCTAAGGGAAAGTGAAAACATTTTCACACCCTTTTTACTGGATCTTCCCATCCTTCACAAAACAAAATAAGCATACCTACCTTCTGGGTAGGTCCTGACCTGCTGCCTGTGTCTGACCTGCTGGGTCTGACTGCAGCAGGGCCAGCTTGGCCCTCCTGTGTGCAGAACAAGGGCTGTGCTGAGACTACCTCTAGACCAGGCAGGCCGGGCCTCTCCCTGCAGACTGCTGTGTTCTCAGATCCTCTCACTCTGCTTGCCACACCAAAGCCTGCCGTTGGGGCTCACCTGGGGAGGTCTGCTTGATGACACGCACAATCTGCTCGTTCCTCGGGTCCAGGTAGCCCATCTTGCTAATGAACTCCAGGGCAGCCTCGATGCTCCTGCTGCCGGTCTGTTTGAGCGCTCTGCCCGCCATCTCCTGGGGGGAAGCGTGGAGATGTGAGTGCATCAGAGCCACTGACCTCTGTCCCCATTCCACGTCTGGCTGTGTGATCACACTCTGCCTTGTCAGGACTGCTGGGGCCATGCTAGGTAGCACAGACTCTCAGAATGCACACAGGTGAGCTGAGGATGGCAGTGCCCCACTGTAATCCCAGCATTCTGTAGGCTGAGGCAGGAGGATCACAAGTTTGAGCCTTGCTTGGGCGACTGAGTGATTTTGTGAAATCCTGTCTCAAAATAAAAGGCTGGAGACAGCTCAGTGCAAAGACCCTGGCTTCAATTACCTAGTACTGTTTGTGTGTGTGTGTGGGGGGGGGAGCCCCAAAACAATGCACACAGGTGGCCAAGGCCCTATAGTGACTGAGACAAAAACCAAGCACACAATCCAGCGGAGACTGCGGAGCCCATACAGAAACTTGATGGTGGACCTGTGATGGTGAAGCTCAGGAGTCAATTTGACTGGCCTGGGAGCTGCACAGGGGCTTCATCAAGCTCACTTCCGTGTGTGTCTACGAGGTCATAGGGTCATAACCTGGGGGTCCACATCTGTTCCCCACCCCTTCCTCTCTGGTGCTGTCCCTCACTCGTCTTCCTGGTTGCCATCACTAAGCAGCTCTGCTTGGCCTAACCCTCCTGCCAGATGTTCCTGCCTGGGAGCCAGCTGGCCAGAGATTAGTCTTTCCTCTGTTAAGTTATGGGTGTCAGGACTTTGTCTCAGCTGACCAGCAATCTGAAGAAACTTTTAAGTCTTCTCCCAAAAGAGCTTTTGTGGTTGGACGGGTAAATCCAGGATGAACCTAACAGCAGAACAGTTTAGCTGCAGAAGAAACTGGGGAATCTGGGAACTGGCTTGACTCCCAGTTCGCCCCTGGCTATCTCTTGGAGCAGCACATACTCTGGAGAGGAAGTCTGAGTACTGAGGAGTCATTCAGGCCCTATCTGCGGCATGCCTGCCATTTCAGGTGGCCATGCCAGTTATAGGAGCAGGGACGCACCTTAGGGACCTGGTAAGTGGGGGAAAGACAAGACAGGAATTCCAGAAGTCCTCGGAGCCCTTCAAACTGCTTGCAGGATGAGAAGACAGACACCAATGGCTACCACGGGAGAGGTACAGGTGGGGTGGATGACAGAGGCACCCTCCTACCCAGCGGGACAGGGGGTAGCATAGCTGGTTCTTTGAGGCCAGACTGACTATAGACAAGTGATGAGTCCAAGGACAGGATTGGCACCACAGAGGCCTACGGCAGCAGGCTGGATGGACTGGAACAGGAAGCTGCAGACCAAGGCCAGGCCATGCTGGGCTGGACCTGTCTTCAAAGCCAAAGGATCTGAAGTAGGGAAGTGTCCGAGGTGGACCTGGGGACAGCTGTGGTTGCAGAGGTTGAGGACTCAGGCAGGGGAGGGCAAAGAGTCAAGAGGGGATTAAAGAACTGTGGCAGAGACAGGAAGGTGAGGAGAGGTAAGAGCCCCAGGGCGGCTCCCGGGCCTGGAGGGCAGCAGAGGGGCTTCAGCAAAAGGGGACACTGAGCAGCGGGAAGGTCAGGAGGGACCGGGAGGAATGGAGACTGCAGACCCGGCAGGTGGGAGGGAAGAAGGGTGTCCAGGCCACACAGGGCCGCTCAGGGCAGCGTCACCGTGGGCGCACCAAGCCCTCTCCCGAGGGCACCGCCCCCACTGCCCCTCAGGCGGCCTCCTGGTGCCTGTCACTGTGTCCCTCTCAGCTGTCTGGCTGTGGCTCCCTCAGGAGTGGGCGAATCTGGCAGGACAGGAAACTGCTTGCTACTCATGGCTACATGTGCCCACCTCACACACAGCTAAGACGAATGAAACCTTCACATCCAAGTGGCCATTTAACACTGGACCCAGCTCTGTTCCCGGCCAAACACCAGTTCAGTGGCAGAACATGGCACATGGTGCACTTGGCTGCATGGGCTGCAACATGGCGTGGGGCCCCACAAGATGGCAGGGTGGAAAGGGACCCAGGCAGAGCCGGACAGCAGGCTTGTTGTCAGGCCACAGCCACACGCTTCTGCTGGGTGGGACAGCTACAACAGTTCAAGAAGCAGATCAAGCCGGGTGTGGTATTGTAGGCCTATAATTCCAGTCATGGAGGCTGAGGCAGGAGGACTGTGGAGAGATCCAGACCAGCCTGAGCTACACAGGGAGTTCAAGGCCAGCCTAGACCTTGTCTCAAAACAAACAAATGAACAAAAAACAGTGAGATGGTAACAAGAACAGAGCTGGGCGGATTGCTCAGAAGCCGAGGCAGGAGAACTGCCATGAATTCAAAACCAGCCTGAGCTACAAAGCAAGACCCCGTCTCAAAAAAAAAAAAAAATAAAAAAAAAAAACAAAAATGGAAAAGGACTGAGCTGTTCGTGCAGTTGCGCTTAGGTTGACACAGAGGGCACACACTGGGTATCTGGGAGAGTGGAGAGAAGGTGGCAGGGCCTGGGCCGCAGCCCCCCTGCCTACCTGGGACAGTGCTGAGACTCGACCCTCTCACTTCACAGCTGTGCTACGGTGGGGAGGTGACAGCTGCCCGGCTGCAGGAAGGCGTGCTTTCAAGTCACCCACAGAGCCTCCCAGCCACAGCTGTGGGCAGCAATAGTGTGAGAAGACTCTGCCCTCAAGTGCTTCACGGGAATGTGCCTGGCAGCGACGGCTCCTCCAGGGCCAAGCACTGGTCCACACTCCTTGCCGTGTTATCAGTCAAGGAGGTAACAGCTTTGGGCAGTTGTTAGTGCCCTGTGTGAGTCTAAACTCCTGTTTGCAGGTTGCCCACAGTCCCGCACCTGGCTACTGAGCTGAGAGAAACCAACAAAGACTTATAGGCCTGCTGCAATAGCAAAAGCAAACCAAACAGCCATGAGCGAGCTTGTTTATAAACAAAACTTTCAACTGATCCCAAGTCAGTCAGGGCTTGCCTCGTCACCTGCCCTCTGTGGAGCAAACCGCAGCTGCTACACAGGGCCTCTCAGATGCTGCTATGCTCACAGTCTCCTGCCATGTGACTGTGCTCTGCTGTGTGAGGCGCAGGGCCCTGCATACCCGAGGCAAGCACTCTGCCACAGAGCCATGGCCCAGCCCTTCCACGTCTGCTTTAAGAACTGAAAGGAACCCAGAATCTACCTGCAAATTAGCCTGGAAAGCACATCTCAGGGTGAGTGGACAGTACAGACAAAGGCACAAGGGAGGGCCGGCGTGGTGGGAGGCTGACACGGGAGGATTGCCACAAATTCAAGGCCGACCTGGACTATACAGTGAGACATGGTCTCAAAACAAAAACAAACAAGAAGACAGGCACAGTGGCACAGTTCAGGCCAGCTGTCACTGTTCTCACAGGGGTCTCAGTTGTCTGGCAAAGGAGCACAGACTTTACACAGGTTGTCATTTAACCTACCTAATGCTTTATATTTCATCCTTTCACTGTTGCTCCACAAAGAAATGCAACAAGTGCTTCCCACCAGGTCTCAAAACACGCACCTCTCGTCCTTCCCAGGGCCCTCCAGCTGCCGTTTCCATTCACCTCTGCAGGGGCTGAGGCGTGCAGGCAGCAGGCAGCCCTCCCCTAATGTGGGGCAGCCGGGGAGGAGGTCATGGTGTGGGCCAGCACCCAGTGCTGTGTCCCACAAGAGTGGGCGAGGAACTCAATCAGACTCTGACCTGCAGTCAGCACCAAGGGGGAAGGCAGCCAGCAAGACTGAGGAGAAGACGTGCCCAGCCCCTTCTTGGGGCAGGCTGCCTCTGCTGTGGCGGGACACAGATCCCTCCTCAGTCACAAACCATGACAGCGACAGCCCACAGTGATGTCTCCAGTGGACAGCTCTCCTGTCCAGGTAGAATGTCAACACTGCCCAGCTAATGTGCCACTCACTGCTCATGACTAACAGTAGGCCAATGAGATTCTGATCACTGTAAGCCACCTAGCAATGTGCACCAACAGAATCCCATATGCCACTGAATTCTCTGCCTGTGACATTCTGCAAAGCTTACTTTAGGATCACTTAGTGTCTTTGGAAGGGGATGCTGGCCCACTGGGAACTGGGGTGCCACATCCATAATGCTAGCCTTCTGGACAGCAGGACTGCAGCTGAGGCCATTCTCTGAGGTTCCACACTTGGCAAAAAACATCTCCAGTGCTCAAGCTTGCTTTGTTACCAGCCATGGTACAAGACCTCGAAATATCTGGCTTGCCCATGCTCTCCCAGCCCTGCTTTCTGTGGCAGCATCCTGGCTTTGAGGTTTTCCTCACATCTCATGTGCAATCCAGAAGCATATTTAGCTCTGCCTAGGCTGGTGGGCAGAAGATCCTGGAAGCTTTGCAGCAGAAGTGATACCATTCCTCACAACCCATGCCCAACCCAGCACAACCTAACATCTCATGCCCAACCTAGCCAACTCCATTGCCTCACAATTTGGGCTACAATGGTGACCCGGGAATTGCCTGCTGTGTCTTCTCCGGAGCCTTTATCTACTTCCCTGTGAGCTGCTCATGCAGGTTCACACATTTTCAAAGGAAAATTCTTTATCAGACTTTGTGGAAGGGGAGCCCCTTACATCAGGGCCGAGGCTGCTGCAGGCAGGACAGCACCAGGGGCCAGGCCGGCCCACTTCCCAGAACACCTCACCGGTCTACAGCGCTCAGCTGCCTGATGGCTCCACCCCTTTATTACAGAGCTCCTCAAGGTTTCTGCCCTATAGCCAAGCCAAGAGATAGGTTTTAAAAGTGAGGTAAAGAGCAGTTTCTAACTGCACTGATTTCCTGCTGCTACTGACAGCTCTAGTAAAACCCCCGCCTCAGTTATACAAAGCCTGTAGGTGTATAAACACACACACACATGCACACCTCCTTGCAAAAGGGGTGGAGCCCAGTTCTCTGCATGCTGGGCAACTGTAGCACCCCTGGGAGCTACTCCCTCAGTCCCCTGAGCTGTACCTTAACAGAACTGTTTTAAAATCTGTTTCTCAGGAATC